TACCAGATACCCTAAAAATTTGCCCGATCCAACTCCGAAGGCGCACTTCGACGCGTTGAGTCGGAGCCGATATTTTTTGAGTATGTCAAAGACCTCTTTTAGGTCGGCAAGATGACCCTTTGATTCCTTGGTCTTTACGACCATGTCATCGATGTAAACTTCTACTGTTTTACCAATTAGGTGCTTAAACATCTTTTTTACTAACCTTTGATAGGTTGCTCCTGCGTTTTTCAACCCAAAAGGCATTACCTTGTAACAGTACAAGCCTTTAGGGGTGATGAACGCGGTCTTCTCCTCGTCTGGAGGGTACATGGCAATCTGGTGGTACCCTCTGTATGCATCTAGAAAACTCATCCTTTCATGTCCTGAAGTAGCATCTACCAGTTGGTCGATCTTGGGCAGGGGAAAGCTGTCTTTGGGACAGGCTTTGTTGAGGCTGGTAAAGTCTACACAAACCCTCCATTTGCCATTCTTCTTTTTTACTACTACTGTGTTGGACAGCCATGTTGGGTACTGAACTTCTCGGATGGCCCTGGCCTCCAGGAGTCTGTCTACCTCTTCTTCTACTGCTTCGACGTGCATCAACGTCGGTCTTCTGGCTCGTTGAATCACAGGTTTTGCCGATCTGTCGACATTCAGTTTGTGGCAAGTGACCTCGGGGTCAATGCCTGGCATTTCATAAGGTGTCCAGGCGAACACCTCTATGTTTGCCCTTAAAAAAGTTTCCAACTCTTTCTCCTCTTCTTTGGTTAAGCCTGAACCGAGAAGAAAGAATCGTTCTTCATCTCCATCCTGGACGAGGATTTTCTTTAGCGCCTCTTCGCTCTTCTCGGCTGGTTCTTTCCCGACGTCTTCTAGGACCTCCATGTCATCATCTTCAACTTCTGCTTTCCTTGGCTCCCGTATACTACAGGTGGACTTTATTGCTGCCATGGAGCAATTTTTTGCTTGTAGTTGATCCCCTCTGACTTCTTCAATTCCATGCTCTATTGGGAACCACAGTAGTTGATGCAACGTGAGGGAACTGCCCCCATTGCATGACAACCACGGCCTTCCCAAGATGATGTTTGTATGGTGAGGGTGTGTCGATTACCAGAAATTCCGTCCGGATCTTCTTAGTGCCGGTGTACCTCCAAGCTTGTTGCGCCCAGTGGCCATGTCGGCGTTCCATTAAAGCCGACCATCGGGCCGTTGGATTGTTCTAAGTCATCAGGGTGAAGGCCCAGCTCTTTGTAACATCTGACGTACATGATGTCACAGGAGCTGCCTTGATCTATTAGGATGCGTTTTACTTGGCACTCCCCAACCTGGAGGGATACTACCAAGGCATCATTATGCGGATGTTGGACCAGTTCTAGGTCGGCTTCAGTAAAGGCTATCATTGGCTCTTGGCATTCTTCTGGCCGATGTCTCTTCTCCCCGACTTGGTAGATTTGCTGTAAATGTCTTACCCTCTGGGTTTCTCCTCTGACTTCGTTTTCGTTGACCCTTGAGTGGATCACATTAACTACTCTCGGTCCTCCTGTTTGTGGTAGTTGTGCTGGGGGAGGCGGTGCTGCTGGTGTTTGAGGCAACCTTGCCTGTTCTTCCCTTGTCCTGGCCTCATTGACCAGGTCCCTCAGAAGGCCTTGTCTTACCAGGTCCTCCAAGTGTGCTTTCAAGGCTCTGCAGCCTTGAGTTGGGTGCCCTTCTTCATTGTGGTAGGCACAACGTCTACCAACGTTCCTTCCCATGAATTCCTCTGGTGCTCTTGCCGGAGCCCTAAAATAAGGTTGATTTCGAATCTGATCTAAGACTTTATGGATTGGGATCCGGAATACCGTGGTTACCGCCTGTTTATTTCTTAATTCTATTTTTTGTTTGGTCGGCCCATTGTTGACTCGGCCTCGCTTTGGCGAGCCGTTTCCCTTTTCTTGTTTTATCTCTTTGTTTCCCGATGTATCTTCTTCGGCCCTGGCGTATTTCTCAATTCTTGCCATGAGTTCTTCCATGCTTTTTGGCAATGTTTTTGCCAAAGACTTCCGTAGTGGGCAGTCATCTTTCAGGCCGTTCTTGAAAGACACGACTGCTACTTCCTGGTTGCATTCGGGTATTCGGTTGAACACCTCGTAGTACCTCTTCGCATAGTCCCTAAGGCCTTCTTCCTTGGTGATTCTTAGAGCCATCAAAGCATCAACCCTCAGGGGTTGCAGCTTGTTGGTCACGAACCTAGCCACAAACATCTCGGCCAGGCCTTCCCATGTCTTTATGCTTCCTTTTGGTAACTTATGGAACCAATCAGATGCAATTTCCCCAAAGGATGAGGGGAATACTTTGCAGCGCAACGGCTCGTTTCCGCTATATAATGCCATTGAATTCAGGAATAGCCCAACATGAAAGTTTGGATCTGACTTACCATCATAGATTTGAAACCTCGGCATACTGAATCTTTTGGGTGGTTTGAATTTGTCCAGTTCCATCGAAAAGGCTGTCTTCGGTTTTACTGGGGAGTTTACCTCGGCTTCAGCATTCTGCTGCCTCCTTTTGAGGTAGTCCCTCAGGTCTTCTTTGCTCCTCCCTGGAGCTCGGCTGTCTTTGGATTTTAGTCTTTTCGGTACACTGCTTTCGGCCTCGTGGTGGGTCCGTTTGGATCTTTCTTCATGGGTTTCGTCAAAGTGGAGTACCTGTCCCTGAACATGTCGATGCTCTTTGGGCTCTGGATTCTTCATGTCGTGCGTCCTTCGGGACTCTTCTTGCCTCGGCTTTTCCCGTCTGACTTGCCTGGAAGGCCGGTGAGAATGCCTTCCGCTCCTGGTATGCTGAGGGACCTCAGGGATTGTTTTTCTTTCGCCCTTTTGGGTGTTGGTTGCTGGCATCGGCGTATCTTGCAACGGGTATGGTGGCTGCATAACATTATTCTGCATCATGAAGTTGACGACTGACTGAAGGTCTGCCAACTTGTTTGCCAATTCTTTTACTTCCTCATCCCTCCGTAGGCACCTGTCCCTCCATACCTGGAGGTTATCTTCATTGTAGTACTTTCCTTGGTTTGCTCTTTTTGACGTGTCGCCTTCCGGGATGGCGTCGTTCTCTCTGTGACCCTGGTCACGGGCTTCTGCATTGTGGTTGTCTCCTTCAACGTCAAGGTCAATTGGTCTGCCACTCCCAGTGGGAGCGTCATCCCCAATATTTTCCTGCTGTCCGTTACTGGCCATCTATTCTTCCTTCGTTCCCACAGACGGCGCCAAATTGTGTGGGTGAAAATCTGACCACACTGCCCGTTTAGTGATCAGCTGGAGAGCAGAGGCAGAATAGATGGCTTTAGCAACCTGTAACAGAAAGAAAAAGCTCCGGCGATGGTTTTTCCACCCGGGGGCACTCCGACGATCAAGTTAGTATATCTCTCAAAGATCAATCAAGTGCTAAACTGAATACTTAAAACATAAATTGCATACCTTAGACCCACGGGGGTGCCTCTCTTTTATAATATACTCAATCCAAGTCCCACTAGAAGTATGACTTCTATGAACTTCATATCAATGTTTACTTTGGACTCTTTAAGAGATAAAGATAAACTCCTTAAGAGCTTTATCATTATCTAGGTTAAGTCCCCTCTTCGTCTTAGGACTCTTGTCCCCTATCCGCCTATCTCGGATTCCGATATCTTTGGAGATAACCTCGGCAACTCCGAGATCACCTCGGCATAACTACCAGGACACGTGGCACCTCGGCTGACACGTCGGCGTCACCGTGCCACGTGTTGGTATTCAGAAAATATATCCTCACAGTATTATGTTTGAAAAAAGTTTGGAGTGTTACGTTGTTACGTTTAAGAAAAATACACTAAAGAATTTTTTAGTATGTTATATTGGAATATTATGTTATTGGAGTGTTACGTTCTTATTTGTAATATGAGATTTATTCCAGAAAGAGAAAAAATCTAAAACCTCTATAGTGCAAATTGCCCAAATGTGCAATTTTTGGGAACAGACTATATTAGTAATTTTTTAATTTTTTGACTAAAATATATAATTGACAAATGAAGCCTAAATATATTTGAAAAGTATAAAATTTGTAAAAATAATTTTAAAACAATTCATTGAATATAACAAAATGAGATAATGTATTGATTTTTTTTCTATTTTTTTCTATATTTGGTGAATTTAAAAAAAATATAAAAATATTATTCTTTTCAAGTATATCTAGATTAAGTTAATTACAAAATTAAAAAAAATTATTAAGATGTTAAAAAGAGTCAACAAAAATAAAAAAACACAAAAAATAAAAAAATTCAATTGTTTCTATGAATTAGATTAAAGACGATGATTGTTATTTCTCTTAAAATAATATGAACAAAATATTTGTATTATGTTATTATTTTATATGTATAAAGGTAAGAAAAAAATATGTTATTTTAATTTGATAAGAGTAAGTATAATTTTTTAAATATGAAAGAAAATTTATATTAAATAGAAATCTCAAGGGATATCAGTGTAATTTATCATAAAATTAAAATTTATATATTATAAATTTAACTGTAGACATTGGTGACTTGCGAAGCATCTAATAACTTTCGTAAAGTAGCATTATAACAAGGGGAAATTATTCAATACTCACGGGCATCACTGTTCATACTTGAAATCAATTATCAATTAGTTAATCCTGTGTTATTTTTCTATTTTCAACATAAATCATGTATTCTTACATCTTTTATAAATAAAAATTTTATAAAACACCACGTGTCAATACACCAAGGCCATATTTGTTTGGGCGGACTGGATTAGCATTCCCATGACTAATAGTATTAGGACTACAAATTCGTTGGATTATGCATTCTATCTTAACTAATAGTTAAGTTTAAAATAATTAATCCGTACTTTAATTGTTTAATCAAATATCGGATTAATAATTTTATTGGATTATAATCTAATCCCAAACTTATATCCACCCAAACAAACATTGAGCCCAGAGTACTGAGTAATCACCAAGCTCTCTGTTATATATACCGTTAGACATATATCTTCAGGCGATTACATTAGTGGCTACAGAGAAATTATAAGCAAAAAGACAAACCAAAAATGAGAAAAGCACAACTGGTGTTTGTCCCATTTCCAGGCATCGGCCACCTCATATCGACAGTTGAGATGGCAAAGCTCCTCGTCGGCCGAGATGACCGCCTCTCCATCACCGTCCTCATCATGAAGTTTCCCTTCGAAAACAACACCCAATCACTCTCCAACCACGCCTCCGATCGCATACGAATCGTCGAACTCTCTCATGACACCCCCTCAGCAGCCGATCCCAATTCCAAACCCGGCTCTTTCTTCCCCGACTTGATCGAAATTCACAAGCCTCGCATCAGAGACGTTGTCTCCAACATAGTCTCTAAATCTGAGTCTGCGTCTGAGTCAGAGTCCGAGTCCACTCCTCGACTCGCTGGGTTGGTGATTGACATGTTCGGCACGTCCATCATTGACATGGCAAACGAGTTCGGCATCCCGACCTACGTCTTCTTCACGTCCAACGCAGGCTTGCTTGGGTTCTTTTTCCATTTCCAGACCCTCCACGACCACCACAACCAAGACGTTACTAAGTTCAAAGACTCGGACGCTGAGTTGACCGTTCCGGCTTTTGCCTACCCAGTCCCCGTAAAGGTCTTGCCTTGCGTTTTCTTGGGCAAGTGGTCCACCACGATCCTCAATATCGCTAGGCGGTGCAGAGAAACCAAAGGTATTATGGTCAACACATTCACTGAACTTGATTTCCATGCTCTTAAGTCCCTCGAAGTAGACAAAACCATCCAAAAAATCTACCCTGTGGGACCCGTACTCAACCTCAAAGGGGGAGGAGGCGGTCCAAACGAGGCCCAAAGCAGCCAATCCGAAGCCGACATCATGAGATGGTTGGACGACCAGGATCCGGCATCGGTGGTGTTCCTCTGCTTCGGGAGCATGGGAACCTTTGATGAGGACCAGGTCAAGGAGATAGCGCGTGCTCTTGAGAGTTGCGGACACCCGTTCTTGTGGTCCCTACGTCAGCCTCCGGCGAAAGGAAAGGTTGGTATTCTGAGTGAGTACGAAAATCTGACGGATATCCTGCCAGAAGGGTTCTTGGAAACAACGGCGGGGATTGGGAAAGTGATCGGGTGGGCCCCGCAGGTGGCGGTGCTTTCTCATCCACCAAGGATCCTCTAGAGTGAAATTTCCCTAAAGTTTCCTAAAGTGCTACAGTGTATGATTGAGATTTATTGGCAAGTCACATCAGAAAAATTGATGTGACTTGCCAGTAAATTTCAACCATACACTGTAGCACTTTAGGAAACTTTAGGGAAAAATCACTCTAGAGGATCCTTGCTCTTTCTCATCGGGCAGTTGGAGGGTTCGTGTCACACTGTGGATGGAATTCTACGTTGGAGAGCTTGTGGTACGGTGTGCCAGTGGCGACGTGGCCAATGTATGCGGAGCAGCAACTGAATGCATTCCAGATGGTTAAAGGGTTGGGAATGACGGTGGAGATAAAGATGGATTACAGGAATGAATTTGGAATGGAGACGTTTCTGGTGACGGTGGAGGAGATAAGTAGTGGGATAAGGCAGTTGATGGACAGTAGTAATGAAATTAGGGAGAAAGTGAAGCAGATGAGCGAGAAGAGCCGGGCCGCCATGATGGAGGGTGGCTCATCCTATAATTCCCTCGGATGCTTTATTGAAGACGTCATGAAAGACTTTAGTTTGACAAGGATAAAATGATAAGAAATGAGTGGATCAAAATAAAATAAAATAATTTCTATATTTGTTTTGTACCAAAGTGGTGGAAATTGCATGTAGGCTTCTTTGTGTGATGTTTGAAGCGCAGATGTTTACGATGTGATGGTTTATTTTAGGTTTCTTAGTTTTATTTAATAAATAATTTTCTTATAATTTCTAAAGTTTAATATTAAATCATTCATTTCAATTATATATATCCAATCAAAGTCTAATGTTCTAAATTTTTGCCAATTATGCCTTGAATAGAACAAATATTGATGGCAACTGTATTATTAGAGCTTGTTTGGGAAGATACTTTGTGTATAAATAGTCATATAAGATAAAGGAAAATGTCTCGTAACTCAAATTTTGTGGCTCAAAAGTGGTTCAAATGGCCAAAACGACTCAAAACGACGTCGTTTTGGCCATTTGAGCCACTTTTGAGTTACAAAATTTGAACTACGTAGCATTGTCATAAGATAAAATAGACTATTTTAGCTAAATAAGATAAAATGTTACATCTAATCCATAATCATTTCATTTTTTTTCTCACAAAAGTTAAAAAAATCTATTCTAAACGAGGATTTTTTGCCCCAGTTAAAATAGCCAAAAAATTAAAAAATCAATTCACATTCCAAACTAACTCTTATTTAGGGGTTGTTTGGGGTGTCCTAAATAAGTGTACTTTTTATCTTTTTGGACTAAAAAATTGAGGTTGAAAATATGGATGTTTGGGTTAACTTTTTGACTTTTTATGGAAAAATGTGTAATAAAAAATTGTAAAAATTGATTTGTAAGGAAAAATTCGAATTGGGAGTTGTGCAGCCGTAATTGTTGACTTTTGATGAATAGTGTTAACTTTTTAACTTTTTGAGTAACTTTTTGACTTTTTGACTTTTTTACAAGTTTTCAAACTTAGCCTTAAATTGTGTCACAAGTTAAACAAAATTACAAATAAAATTAAATGTACTACTAAAAAAGAGAATTTTTGTGACCAAAACTTGTCCTAGCTCATATTTCTTGGCACCTTACAATAGAATTTTAGCGACAACACTTGAGATGAGACGAGCAAGCACGAGGCGAAAGATATTTGCAGTTACAACTTGCAATCCCCAATGATACAAGCTAGCTTAGAATAGCATTGAAATATAAAGACATCTAATAATTTGATTTTTATTTGCATGTAAGGTTTTTGCCATATAATACCCTATTTGAATGTGGATTAACTTGCGCAATCAATTAAGTTAGTTCAGTTTAATTCACTCCAATTTAGGAGGTAAGGGGGCCAATCTTTGACAAAGACAGTTAATTATTTCTTCTTTATTATAAGAATTATATTGAATTGTTTCATGACCAATTTATACAGTGTGAGGTCATCACTTTTGTGAGACATGGGTGACAACAATATTATCTTATGTGAGTAGTATAAGGTAAATGCCATGATGTGATGTCCAGCAAGTTGTTCATAGTAGGTATTTAATTTAATTTTTTTTTTGAGGATAGTCATTCAAAAATTTATTTTTTTAGACTTTTCAAATAACACGCAAATAAAAAAATAAAATAAAATTTTAATCTATTAATATTATTGTTTAAAAAAATAAAATGTAAATACACAAATTAATATAAATATATTTTGTTTTTATCACTATCTTGATAAAAAAAAAATAAAAAATCTTTTTTAATTCAAATTGAGATAAGTTATAAAATTCTTGATCAACATCAACATTCAAATGGTACACTTGTTGGGAATTGCAAAATCACATAATTTTGTTAAAGAGGTACTTTGTACAAACTGGGGAAGTAAAGCTCCAAAACATGTTATGTATTAATTTCACAAAGCATATATCACTACTAAAAATCGAAAATTTTGCAACGGTCTTAAATGTCGCAAAAGATACACACGCCATCGCAAAAGACTTTTTGTTATGGAGTAGCAACAGTAAATGGGGGGTGACAGAAGGGGGCGTGACAAAATGTATTTGCAATAGTTACAAACCGTCGCTTTCTTGTAGCGACAACAAATCAATGGTTTTTGCGATAGTGTAATTGTAACATGCCTGGAGAATACCCATGCGCGTTAAACAGTTCCGACACTCAATTTTTTTGATCTAGTCTCATGAGTGCATGTGAAATATAGATGAGAGTCCATATTTGATGACTTGCATATAAAATTCATTTTATTACAAAATCTTTGCTAGAAATGGACTATATTAATAGATCTTAGAGTCGCCACTTAATATTTTAGAAAAATTAGGAAACCTGTGACTCGTGCCAAGAATATTGTTCGTTGTAAAGGATGCTTGGCTCGGAACCTTAGGTATGAGAGGGAAAGGTCTTTAATTGACCACCCCTCTCACTCGATCAAAGATCGGCCTCTACTAAACCATGATATGAGTTTTATTTACTTTATATGTTTATATCTCGATTATTTAATAAACCCTAAAATTTAATATGTGAAACATACAAACATAGACTATATCATTCATTTTGGAACAACTTGATTTCATGTATTTTGAAAGAGTTTTGAAGATATATAACTCAAAGAAATTGAGTTTACAAACATAAAAATCAACATTATTCCAAATTAAGCAACACAACCTTCATCCACCGGTATTCATATAGTTATATCAAGTAAGCAAGTAGCTGCATGGTAGGATACTTAAATATAGTAAGAAAAACACATACAAGTAGGATGCTAAGGTATAAAAACTTATATATTTACTGACGTCCTGCAAACAGTTACAAAACAAAGTTAGTAAAACATGCATTATCTTATGTACAAAATCAGGATGCACTTCACTCATGAAATGCAACTAAAGATTCAACTTCTAATATATGATTTGTGAATCATCTCAAGAACATGAGGTAGAGCACATAATCACATAAGAATTGAATCCATAGATGCAAACTCAGCCGAATCAAGATGCATGAAACATAGATATACTAAAAAGCAAAGTATGAAGCTTATGTACAAATAAAAAAATTAAGTAAAAGAATAGGATAGAAAGAAGCAGAGAGTGTAATTATTACAACACTTGAATAAATAATTACAAACCGAATGAGAGAGTGATGAAGAAAATACTACAACAAAAATAAAAATCTCACAAATCTCTTAAATGAAAATATAGCAGAAGATCTAGGTCTCAAGGATCGCTGGAAACTATTATGCTCAACGCCAAAAGACCACTCTGTTCTTTCTAGAAGAAGTTAGCTGGCCCACCAACTAGGCCTAGCAAAATCTGTTTTGTTGCAACACCAAGAAAAGAACAAACAAGGAATATGTAGGTGGCTTAACTAACTACTTCGAGTTAGATTACAACAAGTTTATAATATGAAATCAAAGTAAGAAAATTAATATAAGAAAAAAAAAATACAAGAAAAATGAAAGAAATTGAAAATTCACATTCTAAAAAAAGGATGAACTTCTTGAATTCCAAACTTCTTTTTGATTACCCTCAAGGTTGTGAATTATATTCTTAATCCTCAATTCAAAAGCTTGGAATTTGGGGTAGAAAGGTGACTTTAGACAATATAATAGTGTGTTTATAGGAAATGATCACTCTTTAATTTTCTTAAAGTTGGCAAGGACTACTCTTTCTTTCATCAAAGCTTTAGGATTTGGTTATCATGAGGATATATTAGTGTATAAATGGGAAGATGGAAGTTATGGCTCACTTTGTATTTTTCTTTCAATTTTGACTAGTCTTTTATCAAAGCATCAATTCCCTCCCCCTGATGTGATGTCCAGCAAGTTGTTCATAGTAGGTATTTAATTTAATTTTTTTAATGATGAGATGACTCTTGGTGGAGATGGGTGAAGACAATGGACAATGGTGGTGGAAGACAAAGGTTGATTAAGAGTTAATGGAAATATAAAGAAAGTTTAATGGAATGTGCATTAACCCTCTCTTTTGTGAAGAGCCACTCCTTTTGGTAGGTGGAGGCTTTTATTCAAGAATGGATCCAAAAATGGGATAGTGGAATGCCCCACATGCACTAAATAAGAATTCTGCCGAAACTGCCTTATTTCTGGACAAATTGGTAGGCTAGCCAATTTCTTCACTGGTCGGCCAACTTTTTGGTGAGCCAGCTACTATTTATGCACTATTTGACCAGTCAGCTACTATTATTGCCGACCGACGCTATTCATGCATTATTCATTGACATATATATATTTTTTTTTGGGAAGGAAAAAATAGGGTTTTTCAGCAGAATTATTGGAATTATGTACAAAAGGAATATTTTGAAAAAAAAGAGTTTTGAACGGGTCTAAAACACTTGGCTAAGGCAGGTTTGAGGTTGGGAATAAAGCTCGAATTCCATCTTTCTTACTGAAGATTTTGTGAGATAGCACATTCTTATTTTCATCATTGACTGATCAAAAGAAAGCACCCGAGTCTTAGGATCGGTGAAAATGAGGTGTCTACAGTAATCTGTCACAAAAAAGACAGAAAAACTTCACTTTTAGTGATGGTTTAGGTTGCCGTCACCTAAAACTTTTTTAGAGACGGTAATTGATGTCGCGAAAAGTATTATAAGCGACGGTATAGAACGTAAAAAAAAATAAAATAAATAAGAATGGGTTAATTACAAAAAAAACCTCAGGATTTCGTGTGTTTTTCAATTTAAACTCTAGAATTTCAATTTCGACAAATTAAACCCTAGAGTTTCATCCGTGTTTCAATTTCATCCATCCGTCCATCTCCGTTATATTAAACTAACGGAAATCTGGGCAGAATTTCAAATTCAAACCTATATGTTCAAACACTTGTATCTCCCTCGTCGTAACTCTGTTTCGCCTCATTTTTGCATTGTTGGATTCACCTAATGTCCTAGTTTTCATTCCTCTCTTCATATGCCTTGTTCCACATCCTTTTACTTGCCATTGGAGCTCTGAAAGTTGGCTAAAAATAAGATTTTTCTCTCGTTGGGCAAAATTTTATATTCAAATCCACATATTCAAGCACTTGTATCTCTTTCGTCGTAACTTCATTTCACCATATTTTTGCCTCATTAGATTCAACTTATGGCCTAGTTTTTATTCCACCCTTCACATGCCTTGTTTCACATCTTTTTACATGTCGTCGGATCTTTA